GCCTGAAATCAGCAATAATCACCAAGAACATAGATTAGGAGATTAAATTTGGGAGATCATAGGACCATGGCTCTAACAAATCTAATGGGAAAAAAAATGAAAAAGAAAAAAAAAGAAACCTCTGTTATTAATGTAGTTTTTCTAAATGGAGATATTAAAGGAAGTCTTTATATCAGTTCCAGTTGTTTTCTAGTTCCATTCATTCTTCAATATTTTTTTAAGATTCACACAAGCAAGTCAAAATAAATGTAAACTACATGAATCTAGACGCTCTTATTTATTTTGTATCCTCAGCATCTCTAAATTCCTGTCATTCAGTAAAGGGCAGCCAAATATTTGTTGAAAATAGAAATGAATGTATAGGAAATCAAAAGTAAAAAAAAATTGGATATAATTCCATAAAATATTAAGTGCAATAAGATTATAGTCTTATTCTAATAAACATTTCTATAGCACAAATTTACTGCTGTTAAAACAACTTCTGCCTGTTTTGTTTTAGTGGATATTTAAGATGATACAATTATTGATAGATATTTCAACTAAAGTGATCAGAAAACCTTTACAATTAGAGCTAAATCTTCTAAACACACATAACTTAGTGCCTACTCTGACTTACATTGATACATAATTGAAATGAGTATTAAAAATTGTTATAATTTATTATGCATAATTTTGTATATAGTTAATGATAATTAATTTTAAAAAAACACATTCCTTTTGTTAAATGAATTTGCAAGTAGAATGTTTACTGTAAAAATGTTGACTTCAATTCTTTAACAGTGTTTTTTTCAACTGATGATATATTTTCATAACCAGCCATTAGACATACATGCCATTCTGCATTGTCATCTTCTTTCCCAAGAGTTAGTAACTTGGTGAGTGGGTTTCCTGTGGGGCCAGCATCATTGTCCGGAGTTGTGTGTCCATGCTGTACCAGGAGTGCACTGCTTGGAGATTGTGACCGTTTGAGAGTCTGGCTGATGATCTGGTGATCAAGCGTCATGAAAGAATTTACTTGCTGTCTCTGGGCTTTCTGTAGCTCAGGCCTTGCAGGACTTTCCAGGTGTGCTGGGACCTACAAAATTGAAACCCAACAATTACA